TTGCAATGTCTTACTTTGAAGTTGTAAGGAAATGTTTATTTCCAAATGTTGATTGCTTTCATCGCACAGTTTGAGTATGTACGTCTCAACATTATCTGTTGTTAAGTTATTAAATCTAAGTTGCAATGTGTAATCAACAAATGAATCGTGCTTCTTTTGTAGAGTATAGCACACACTGCAATCGCTTTGTCGTATTTCATTTTCCCTATACAGCACGGATGAATTAATGGTCCCACTTGCAACAAGACACAACGTCACCACTACGACATTTTGATCACGTGACACTGTAATGTTCCTTGTATTAGTTTGGTTGGCACATAGCCGTGGTGGACCTGGAACACAAGGGGTTTATTGATGGATATCACAAAATGAGCGAAAAAATGCAGGCCTATGTTTAACATTCGTAAAAAATAAAATAAAATAAAGATGTACTATCATTATTAACAAAGCAATGAAACACTGTAAAGCTGTATTGCCTTTGTAAGTGCCTTCAAACCAATTTCATTTATGTTTTATATAAATTTTGTAAAATTTTGACCATATGTGATAGTCTCTATTAAATTAAACACACTGAAACAAATTTTTATTATTTATTTTTTTTTTTTATTTTGAATGTCAACTTACATGACGGTACTGTTAGGTACGTATTAGCCCGAAAAATTCCTGGAGCCTCCATATGTTCTGCTCTGCAATGATACATTCCCGTATCAAGACAAGTTATGTTCACTATGGAATGCACGGACTGGTCTTTACGTTCTTCGTGTATTCTTTTTGCTTCTTTCCATAAAGAAATCGTTGCGTTGTACTGACTTGTCACTGAACATCTCAAAATAACAGTGGACATCTGAGTTGCCAGTGTTTTATTTGGAGATCCATTTATTTTAAATGACTCAATTCGAAACAAATCTGTAATGGAGGTATGTAAAATATATTTATAACCTGTAAGCTCTGATCAATTAAACTAAATTATGCTAATTTTGAAATATACACTATTTACATTTCCTTGTTTTTCTTTTGTATACTTTGGATTCCAAGATCAATTTATCTCTGATTCTGGCTCCATGTTTGAATTCAGAGTTTGCCTACTCTTTGACGAGTTGCTGTCAAGGGCTAACGAGTCCATTACACCCAAGAGCTGGTGATGTTTTTGTTTTGGTAGCGATTGAAATCCAGGCCACAAGCTTTTTGGACTGATTCCGTTTAGACAGCTGGGCTACTCAGTAACCCTATATGTTACTGTTACAACGATAAAATTTCAAACCATTTTGCAATAATTTTAGATCTACATAATTGAAATCAAGGTAATATGAACTTTAAAAAAAAAAAGTTAAAAAATATATTTAAACGATAGCATGTCTATTTTGTGTATGCTTTTTTAAAAAAATTAGTAAAAGCCAGGTATATACATATATTTTTGTAACAGACTTACCTCTCGTTACGTTTAGAATGAACGGAATCTTCAATTCTTGATCATGTATAGTTTTGAAACTGACATTCAGAAATCCTATATTCTTATACGTGATTTTTTGTACGGTTAGTTCGATGTTGTATGTAAGAGAAGTCTCATCAAACGTTGAATGTACAATAATTTGGTCACTGCTGCTACTGGCATTGTAGATTTTACCATTGATTACAACGTCTGAAGTGAGTTCTGGATAGGACTGGAGACAAAGATTTATTGGTAGTGTCTTTCCAATTATTACATCATATTTAATCTGTGGTCGTGTTCCATTGCAAAATACCGGAGCACCTGTAATAAAAAAAAATATAACAGTCTAAAATTTCAATGACTATTTGGTTGCTTATTTTTAATTGTTCTTTTCAATATTTTAGTAACATTTCATACATAATATGGCATATATTTAAAAAATACATTTACCCATTTTTTATTGAAACTTATTTTAATGACAAACTAATTTAAAATAATTAGTATTAATAAAAATTGAATGTGCCTAAAAAGTTAAAGGAACATTTCATATCAAATCCATGCATTCAAAAAATATGTAACAAAACTATTCATTTTCAGCCTTAATTATTTTCTTAATATTTCTATTTAAGCGTGTGGTATATCATTTGAATCTTTAAAAAAAAGAAATATCCCTTATAAAAGTAGAGGAGTGTTTAGGTGTTGTGAAAAACTATTGCCAGTAAGATTTGTTTAAGCCTGATTAAATAAAACAATACATGTAGATCAGCGGTTCTTAAAATGTATGCCACGACCCCTTCATGGTTGCTTAGACCATCAGAAAACACATATACTCTACAGTTATGAAGTGGCAACGTAAAAATTTGTCTCTTGTCATTTCAGCAGGAGGAACTGTATTAACGGGTCATGGCTTTAGGAAGTTTAAGAACCATTAAACTAGACAAATGTTTCGGCCAAACGCTAAGGGAAAAAAGAAAACAACGAAGGACATGAGAGATTTAAAGAAAACGCTCGTTTCTTTGTCCTATTCTGTTATTTTTCAAATGGCAGTGCTAGTTCTGATATTTAAATGAGTCTAGTTCTGATATGTAAATGAGTCTAGTTCTGATATGTAAACGAGTCTAGTTCTGATATGTAAACGAGTCTGGTTCTGATATGTAAACGAGTCTGGTTCTGATATGTAAACGAGTCTAGTTCTGATATGTAAACAAGTCTCGATCTAATATGTATATCAGTCAAGTTCTCATGTGTACACTAGTCTAGTTCTCACCTGTCTAATTCTGATATGTATACCCATCTAGTTCTGATATATATACCAGTCTAGTTCTGATATGTATACCCATCTAGTTCTGATATATATATATATATATATATATATATATATACCAGTCTAGTTCGGATATGTAAAAACAAATCTAGTTCTGATATGTATACCTGTCTAGTTCTGACATGTATTCAAACTAGGTCTGATATGTATACCAGTCTAGATCTGATATGTATAACAGTTTCGTTCTGATATCTGTACCAGTCTAGTTCTGATATGTATATTTAGTACCTAGCAGTGACAATGGCCAAAATAAAATGGCTTAAACTTATATGATGTCCGAAGAGACCAATGACGTGTGTACTTGGCGATAAAAACTTTGTTAAGATTAATTTATCATTTTAGATACGTGATATCCTAATAAGAATTAGGATCCTTTGTCTTTGGCGTTTAATTGATTAACATGAAAGTGTCGCGGAAATAAGTAACATTTTAGAACACGATGAAGAAACATAAAAAAAAAAAAAAACTAATTACTGAGTACCAAAACAGGCAAACAAATCAACCAGAAAAAATACATTAAAAAATAAATTACCTCTGTTTACAAATTGCAAAACTATCCAGGGTTTTTAGAATTGTATAAGCCTCTCAAATCATAAAATTCTTGTCTATTAGAAAATATTGCACTTCTTAAATATAGCTAAAACTAAAATTTAGAACATTGTGAAAAACATAATCGCTCGAAATATTCCTAACAGGGTATAGACAAAGCTGTGTAGCAATTCAAAACAAAGTAATTGTTTTTGGAATAAGGACAACAAGAAAAGACGACTGTGGATCAATAAACGAGAATTCGATTTTACTTGATACGCGTAGCGTTTTAAATTTCTGTAAATATCAGATAAATATCACATAAAGTAATTAACATAGATTATAACGCATATTGTCTTTTCACCAGTATGACATACGGTGTAAAATTATATAGGACATTAAGGGCAAAGGTCAATATATTTGATATATATATATATATATATATATATATATAATATATATATATACACAAAAAAAAAAGATTACATGATTTATTTTATATATGTTATAGTCGCCTAAATGATAAAAAAGAAAAATATATATATTGACAATAAAAAACTTTTGTAAGATTTTGTATTTTTATTTATTTATTAGTTATTTTTTTATATTTAAATATATATGATATATATATATATATATATATATATATATAATATATATATTTACACAAAAAAAGAAGATTACATGATTTATTTTATAAATGTTATAGTCGCCTAAATGATAAAAAGGAAAAATATAAATCTTGACAATAAGGAACTTTTGTAAGATTTTGTATTCTTATTTATTTATTAGTTATTATTTTATATTTAAAGAATAGAACTTTGTTACTAACCTTCTGTTAATCTCAAGAAAAATGTGAAGTCAATGCCATTTCTCTTTTTGCTCATGATTTTAACAACGTACATTTTGACATCATCATGAGTAATATGATTAAAGCGCAAAGCAATTTGCTGATTGGACGTTTTGTTGTTTAATTGCACAGTATATTTGACAACATTGGTTAAATAAGCCATGGGAACACCATTAAGTCCAATGTTATCACGTTGTAGGTTATGACTAGTGTTTACACATATTTCTGTTTCAAAAGATTGTCCTAAGTGAACAAAGTATTCCGATCCATCCAGAGAGACATTGCACAGACTGAAATTAATTACTGTGTAGAGTAAAAAATACATTTATAATGAACATATACCAACATAAATTATTGACTTAGTTTAAAGTAACTGAAAAGTGTTCAGTTTATAGAAACAGCTCACGATCAATTATATTATTTAAACTACTTAACACTGCCTAAAGTAGTTATTCTCAACCAATGTGGTATTTTAAACAAAAACAATTTATGAACTTAAAGGGATAATCCTCGATGTTGGTCTCTACAGATGGGCAAATGTTATAAAAAGGTGATGTAATAAAAAGTGTGAGAAATCTCGGTCAAATGTTATTAACACGATAAAAGCCTATGAATCATCCATAAGGCATGTTTTTATTTTCGCAAACTAAATTGCATACGTCAGTGTATTGTTTAAAGGTAAATTGTTCATATAAAAGAGATAAAAAATAATTATTTGCTTTTTACTTGCCTGATCGCTCTTTTATGTCTAATCGTATTGGAATGAATGTACCAGAACCAGCTTTTACGTTTACTTCATAGCTTTTGTTGATGTACTGTGTGCAGTTGATAAGCATAATCTTGATATAATATTCTGAACTGCCATATTTGTGTATGATAGAGATCTGTGTTTCATTGTTGGTCAGATTGTTTGGTCTTAATTGTAAGCCTGATGTGACTTTTCGAAAAAACGGTCGTGGAGAAAGTTCGCTACAGAAATCTTTAGGCATCCAAAATGTAGTGGCAAGTGTAGGGCGGTCTGAAATTTAAATAAAAAAAAATAAATCATGTATCCTTCTATATATAAATATATAATGAAGCTAAAGAATTAAAATATATAATACTAAGATCTTGTATAAGTACTATAGTAAATAAAAATAATAATTTGGAAAATAATCTCTGGGTTCCATTTAAAGTAGCCCTCAATTTTTAGTGATATTAAAAAATAAAGAAATTAAACAACACAGGACAAAAAATGGTTTTCGTATAAATGCTTTTTTTTTTTTTAATTGATGGAATTGTACGTGCTGCTTTATCATTTATTAAGGAGTGGTTATGAAAATCGTTAAACATCTGGCGAAAACAAGCTTCACATTTCCTTAATTTGTCCCGTCATAAATGTTTGTAATTTTTACTTCTTTCGCAAATGCTCCATAATACAAAGCAAAGAGCAACAGCTATACAATTACTCTTCACACAAGATCAACGCAACCATTGAACAAATCGAATCCCCTTGAAAAAATAGGATATACGTATTTTTGGGGGCTTGAGGCTGAACATTTTATAAAATGGGTCGTCAACAGCAACGAGCATCTTTGCCACTTTTCAGTTTAATAGGAAGAAAGAAAGTGGGTCAATAAGACTTCCAAAGAAAAATAGAATAACAATACGGGAATGAAAATGTTAGATATCTTATCGCTTAAAGAATAACATATTTTTTTTTTAAAATGTCAATGTAAATTTATGTTAGCGCCCAAATTTATTATATTGTGATGATTAATGGTAAGTATCTTAAATTCTTTAAATAATTAAAAGAAGAAAATTGAAAGGTGCAAGAGGCTTCCAAAAGTGTTGTGTTCCTGTGAGTGAGCGCAACAACTACAGAATTCTGTCAATTGCGTACAGCTGCATAGATGGCTCAGCACCGAATATCTCAAGGAACTGATTAACAAACATGTGTCCTTGAAGAACCTGCGTCTTCAGCACAGTACTTACTGAGTGTGTCTTGTGTGGATGAACAAAGAAAAAAGTCTTATGGAGTGCGCTCTTTTGAAGCGTTAGCGCCAAAAATATGGAACATTTTGCCTCAATCTTTGAGGGGAATTGTAAATGATAAAAAACCATTTAAGAAACAATTAAAAACTTTTTTGTGTAAATATATTTCGGAGGACCAGAGCGCAGTGAGCATGCTAGAGTAGCATGGATACCAGCGCGATATAAATATCAAAATCAATCAATCTATATTAAATATTTAATTATGTTTTTATCCTAAAGCTATTTAATTATATTAAATATGGATTAATGATACAAATTGTAAAGAAATATTTTTTAAATGTGTATTCCACATATTGGACTTAATTTCATCTTTCATTTTTTCCATTAAAAAAATTTAGAAATTTGTAACACTACAACACCAATAAACAAATAACACCGTGGATGAATGTAGTGCTTTTTATAATTTTACCCAATTATGATAATAAGATGTTCTAAATGCAGAAGCATTTTCAAATACATTTTAATCGGTTAAATAATTTTCGAATTTTTTTTTTAATGACTAAAACTGTATAAAGTATAAGAATATACTGTAACCTTTTAATTATACACGTAATGTGTTAAAATGTATAGCAAATATTATCATCAACTGTGAACCGGTGTTAACTAAAGGTAGTAAAAAAGAGGGGCTGTATGTTGTTTCATTCCATAAAAGAGATTGTTAGAAAAAAAAGATGACTTACCCTTAAAACAAACCAACAGAAATCTTTTTGTAATCTATGTGTCATAATTGTAATTTTGTATTTTATTATATTCTTTTGCAGATAGTGAGATCTTAGTGTGATCGTTTTATACACAGTCGGATGCCAGCAAGCTTCTAGTTATTCTAGAGATATTGAAACATTAAGCCGAGTTAACGATAAGTTACATAAATGGAATACGTTTAACTGATTTTTTGCGAGCAAAGCACTTATTGATATATAAAGTTTTTTTTGTTTTTTTTTAAATAACGTGTGTTTTTTCCTTCAAGCTCTACCACACAAGCCAATTTAAAGTAAGGTGAGCTGATTTTGGAGCATGTCACATATAACATTCCACGACAGAAGAAGTATTCCCTAACATCTGTCCCAGTCTATAAACAGAAGGATTGTGGTTGGGTATGTCTTTAATGTGTGAATCGACGTTACCATAGGTTTAGTTCACGTATTAAAAAGACAAGATTAACAATTTGCACAGAAACATGTTTAGATTTTTATCTGCCACAAATATTGTTTATGTGAACATTTCATACCATTATAACACCCTAACATCTGAGTTTTAGATTTTAAAAATTCCTGCAAATGATAAACATTTGGTCTATATATAATATGATGACAAGAAGTACTAGGGTGATGCAGTCATTTGTTAAGAACATTTTTCCATTTTGTAAGTGTACTGTCTCAAAGGAATGGCAGGACTGTCCAACCTTTTTCAACCAATGAGAATCACGCACGTGGTCTGTAGCACATTCTACATTCACTCTTACGAAATTTATGACAAAAATCCTTTGAACTGAACATCATGGATACGTCCGTTAACCGTCTAACTAAGGAATAATGTGGATTTTCATACCGTAAACAGTAAGTAAAATTATTGTCATAGACACATATGTGAACCAGGATGATGTATTATGCAATATATGCGAGCCAGTATTATTTAAGGAGTCACATGTGGGAGCTAGGACGATGTACTGAGCAACATTTGCAAACCAGGATAATTTATTGCGCCAAATATGCGATAAAGGGTGATGTTTTAGCCAGATATGCTAGATAGGATTATATATTGAGCCACATATGCGAGATAGGATGATGTATTTTTGAGAATTTTAGGCAAGGTTTTCGAAATTTAAATTTTTTTTAATGAATTACAAGTTCTCATACAAAAGTCAAATTATTTAGACTGCTTCATCAATCGCGAATCAGCTGTTTTCCTTTGTTTTGAACGACTAGATGATATTGTCCGGAAACCGATTCACGTTACATGTGTAACGATATGGTGTGCCTTTTGCGCCTTTTACTCTTTGCAGTTCACGGTTTTTTGTTTTTTTAAAGTATCTCACCTGATAGGATACCATAGAAAGAGTAGCTACCTTATACCCATTTAATTGTTTACAAATGAATCGATATTCATATTTAAAAAAATAGTGCTTGAAAATGATTGCGTGTTTCCTTACAATCATGGTTGAAGTAAGAAAATGATTTTACATCTTCATATTTTTTTTTTTCCAAATCCAAGTCAATGTATTATATGCACTGATTAGAGAGAAGAAAAAAATAAAGCTAAATGAAATAAACTACCTAATAACATATTTGAAAAGGATACATTAATTTATTCTATTATTTGAAGTTAGGTAAAACAAAATAGCAACAACTTCAGCAATAATAAATCTGTTATTAGTAAGTTGAAAAATATATTATGTTTTTCAGATTATTTATTAATGTTAATTTTATTGGCCTAATCGAATGAATAGACGTACATTATTTGAAACTGTACTTGTGTAGGAAAATTATTATTTCATATACCAGAGATCCTATATTTCTAGTTCTCTCTCCGTTGATGAAGAGATAAATATCAGGATTGCAAAAGCAGCAGTAACTAAGGCTAAACTCAATAAGCGGGTGTGGAATAATCTCAATCTAACTGATAAAACAAAAATAAGTGTCTATCAGGCATGTGTGCTTAGCACGCTCCTATATAGTAGCGAAGTGTGGACCAGCCAGGAGCGGAAACTCAACAGCTTCCTTCAAAGATGTCTGCGTCGCATTTTGCGCATTCGTTGGCAGGACAGGCTGCCTAACGTGGAGGTTTTGGAACATGCACACATGTTTAGGATATTCTCCTTTATAATCAAGAGGTGCCTTCGCTGGTTAGGTCATGTACGGAGAATGGAGGAAGAACGTATCCCAAAGATACCGCTGTATGGAGAGTTGGCAGAAGGTACAAGACATATTGGAGACCACGCCTGAGATTTATTGACGTTTGCAAACGAAGCATGAGTGAAGCCAATATAGAAACATTCGAATGGGAGTTCATTGCCGAACATCGCTCCAACTGGCGAGCAGCAGTGTTTGATGGAGTAATAATGGCAGAAGATACTCGAAACGAGGCCCTTGAATCAAAAAGAACAATTCGGAAATCAATAATTTACCGTGATTCAATATGCTCCTGTGAGATTGCCATTCTAGGATTGGCCTAGTGAGCCACTCGTCAAAGTATAGAACTATATAGCTACTGCATCGTCTCACGAAGACGGAAGGATGCCATATACTTGTGTTGGAAAATTGACTAAGGTATCTACAGGACGATGCAGCCAGCCATATTGCACGATCATCTATCACTATGCTGTAGAAAATCGTTTCGCGATAAATAATTTCGCGTGGAACCGACTTTCCATACCACTTTTACTTTCCCGTCTCTCGCCACGAGATGCCTCTTTGTGGTGAGTGTAAAGGAATGTGTTTTTAAATGTGAAGTTCTGCGTAGAGCTATGCGTGTGTTATGGGAGAAAATAGACTCTTTTGAAGATTGCTATAGCCACCATTGTCGAATGATATGTTTGAAACAATGTCTAGAGTGCTCCGTCGCATACTATAAACACTTACGTTAAATTAACCATGGTGAATAAACATGGTAACAATGGATTTGTAAGTTTCTATTAGATGAAAAACAAAACAGATTACGCAAAGGAATTACAGCTGTTTTTTTAAATTTTATTTCAGTGCTGTTACTTCTTTTGCATGCTGTCCTAAAGGTCATCAAGAAAAGCTTTGCCATTGTTATTTCATCGTCGAAAACGAAATAAAGCAATTGTCAAAATTGTCGAATTTTCCCCTTCTATTATACATTTAATGATATGAAATATGTGTTATAGCATTCAATTTAGCTAAGTCTTTTTTGCTATAAAACTAACCTGGAACACAATACAATGAATAATACGACAGTAAACTAATGTTACGTATTTGCAACTCACCTTTCAATGTGATATTTAAAGAGAGTGTTAGGTTTTTTTCTGGTGTAAATATCAATACAATCAGATACATTTTAAAATCTTCTTCCTTCGCTTTCAGTAGAGTTAGCTCAACATCGCCAACAAATTTAGTTCTTCGCTTGTAGACATGTGACCAGCGTGGATCTTTGACCTCATTACCGGTCTTCTGGTCATATATAGTTACATCAACGTGATTGTAGTTATGTACAACACACACTTTAAGTCTTGCAGTAGAGTTTTCGTTTGTAAATAAATCTGGACTGTTTCCTCCACAAAGTTTTGGATCACCTGCAAAAAATGTATCCATTGATTTATATTTGAGTTATATGATGGATGGGTAAGTATATGTATAGGTAAGAAATTTGAAAAAAATAGCAATATACTAATATTACTTTTTAAAAAAAAAAAGAATGATTGTTTTAAAAAAAGTAATAAAAATCAGCTAGTATTAGAGATGTCGATTTGACAACTTACAGTGATGGTCAAAAACATCCAAAGTTGAAGTAATTGTTTTGTTTTTATAATCAGTCATAGAACATATATATGAGCCAAAAGAAGTGCATTGTAAGTAATTTAAAGTATTCGTTTCTACGTGAAAGTTTTTCTTGTAGTTTTGAAGACTGTTTACATTTTTCACAATTGTTTGTTCATTTAAATGACCTATTTCTATGCGTTTGGGATAATTGGTTCCTTCACACATTAGAATAAAATATATTTCATTGTCTTGTCTGTTCCTCTTGAAAGAAAAGTTGAGCTCTGATTTAGCTGGAATTGAAAAAAATATAAATAAACAATAACATGATACAGCCAAGAATGATACGTCATACTACTGTTTTCTTATACACAAATAACTGCATTTATGAAACACAATGTGTGTTACTTTGCTGGTTTGTAACTTATAGAATAACAATTTACTGGAGCTAAACAATAATTTTTATTTTTTTTTCCGAAAGAAAATATTAAATATATTGAGATCCAGAATGGGGAATAATGCCGTATGTAATGCTTTCTGAGCATTTGATACACTTCATGATGTCGATTATAGTTGCGTGTTTGTCGCAATTTGTCTTCTTCATGGTGGTAACATTTCCATTTTTCATATATATTAACAATACAAATACGTCACGTTTATAATACATTATGTTAAGCTGGGAAAGAACGAATTTAATTCTCACGTTTCACATAACCTAACATTTTTTTCTGAAACTAAAGCTGAAACCAAAATCTTAACGAGACTTTTGGCCGCTATCGAAACCAAAGATATAAAACTAAGTATTTTGTAAACAAAAGTGTACCAACATCCAACACGCGTTTTCTACCGTTTTCCGAATCACTTCTCTCAGCACAGCAAATTTCCAATCGTTTAGCTTTAATTTTGGATGTTTACACACAATGAAAAATGGAATCAGTTGAACATAGTCTCTTTCTTTGAGAACTTAAGATGAATTAAATATTGTTAGATATAATCAAATAAATAGTGTTATCTAGTTTTAGCCGATACTCATGCATTGGCCTACTCCATAAATGTTAAGGAAAACAATGATTCACGGACACGTGTGTGTAGGCCAATGATTTAATTTAAATTCTAATGTATAGCTAATTATACAAAATCAAATGTATTAATTTAATTTTTTCATATTACAAAAGATTAATCATTTTCGTTCATATGTTGGTCCATTTGCATAACATATTTTTAATATCATTTTATATTTTTAAAATTAAAAAAAGATAGTAATATGAAATTTATAATTTTATTAGTTTTTGCTCTATTTTAATAATTTTTATATTTGAGCTTGGTAAAGATAAATCAAGTTATATGTCAGAAATGAATAAATTGAGTAAATTTGTTACGCACTGGCTTCTATTGTGAGAAATTAATCTCTTGTTTTAAGTTATGGCTCTTTCACACAGTGAACGACAAATAACGATACCATAGAGGAATGCAAAAAAGTAAAGTTACAACACGAAAAAAACAGTTGCCAATTACAATTAGTAAGATTTAATTTAGTAATAATACATTTAAAAAAGAAAAGAAATATAATTAAAAATCATTAACAAACGGAGAGTGGGAAATCTTGTACCGGTACACAGTTGTTAGTACAATGTGTAAATTAATAATGATAAATGATGAATGCGAAATAAACACATATGAGCACACAAAGAAAAATACAATTGTCTCGTAAAGTTAATAATATCTATCTGAATCTCCATCTCTCTGTGCCTGTCAATCCTTTATATATGTGGGGGGATCTACCGACACGTCTAGAAACGCCCTTCCTACTCTAATACAATCGAGAACGTTCCATAAAATACTAGTAGACAGTCTAACCATATTTAATTGGTAAACACAACAGATAACAAGAACTAGCCCCGCCCATCTAATAACCGAGCGTCTGCTTAGGGATCTAATTTAAAGTCAAGCAAAGTTCACGCACGGGGAAATGGCGTAAAACGTTATACATAACAAAATTGTAATAGCGTTGTTAGGTATATTGGGAAAATATGTCATTATGATGCTGTGAGGAGTGTTCGCAGAGGATTAGTCATAGACCATGACGACAAGGCGTCGAACTATAATGAACATTGGATTGCATCTGAAAGATGCTACTGAATTCTGATAGACTAAGGAAAGCCTTTATCACTATCGGCAAAAACCAAAAAAATAAACAGAGTTTTAACTTTTCTATTTCGACAGAACCGATATTACACCAAAAATATCATAATTGCAAATGTAATCGCCTAAAACTAAATCAAAATTCAGTCAGCTATACCTTTTACTGAATGTTTATATATATATATATCTATCTTCTTCTTCTATATCTTAAGGGCCCACGATCAATTTATTGATCAATTTGGCTTATATGCATGTAGATGGGATTTGCAATGTTTCTGTTACTGGTGTTGATGAGGAAATCATGCACTAGGGGTTTGAAGGCTTGAGGCAATAGACACAAATGTGTCTAGTGTTGTCGCCTCAACCGTTCCTTTTGAAAGATTTACTAGTCCCTGATTATCTTGGGCAGGAATGAGCAGCACCTATACTGACTTCTTGCTGGTGTGAGCCTGAATTGCCTGTCATGGCCTCGTCGCTGTCTATGGGGGAGAGGGACGAGTTTCTGTTTAATACTGGAACAATGGACCAGCCCATTATTTATCTTGTACATCATGGAGTGCCTGGATTGTTGTCATCGTTTCTCCAATGGGGACCAGCCTAGTGATTCTAGCTTGCTGCCAACACTAGAGGTATTCCTGTAACGGTTTAGGACAAAGCGTGCTGCTCGTCGCTGAACCACCTCCAACCTGTCAATGCTCTTCTGGGTAACTGGGTCCCAGACTTAAGATGCATAATCTAAAATCGGACGGATAAAGGCTTTAAATGCTCTTTCTTTTACACAGGAGTTGCCGATCTTTAAATTTCGCCTTAAGAACCCTAGGGTCTTGTTTGCGAGGTTACAAACATTGTTAATATGCTCGTCCCAGCGGACCTCTCTTTGAATGGCATATATATGTGGTGTTTATGTTTTGGATTGGCCAGCCCTGGCCTTTTATGCCAGTTTGTTTGCTTTTTTATTACCCTAAACCTTCTTGGTACCCATTACAATGTTCACTTGCATCCGATTTTCTCAATTCTGCGAACGTCCAAAGAGATGACCTAAAACAAGTCCGTCTTAAGTTCTTATGACGTTTTTTTCTCATTATTAAAGTGTATCGAGTAGCGGGTCTCTTTACCTATATACATTTGTTCGCGGCTCATAGATATTTGGATAAAAATTATGTCCTAACACATAGTAAATTTACCTATTAATTTAATAATAGAAGAGAATTTTATTTTTAAACTTAGTATATATTTATCTTATTATATTCTTCGCACACGATATATTCTTCATACAAGATACACACAGTACAATGGTGTATTCAGTTTCATAATTCGCATCACGTTTTAGTTCTGAGCCATTAAAAGAACACGTTTTCTATTGGCTAAAAATGTATGTGTATACAATATCAAGGCAACCTTATATAAATTAATCATAATAGAAAGAAATTCCCAAAAATTTAAATAAATAAAATGCATCGCATTTTTGTTAGTAGAAAAACTCATTAATCATTAAATATTGTGGACACTGCAAAAGTAACACACATTTCTTTCTCTTTTTTCTCAGCTTCTTTTATTTGTTTCTTATTTTTCTTATACTCATTTGGTTTTATAGCTGTTAATATATATATATATATAATAAAGTAAGCTTATTTAGTATTTATTTTTCCTTAGCAAAAGACCGGTTAGTTTTATATTAAGTTTGGTATGACTTGTTATTAGTGTCCGTAGTTGCATAAAAATATAAGTAATACATTCTGATGTAATAATAAGTTCGAGGCCAGTAACGATTTTGTTTATTCCCTACATACTATTTACAATTATTATTATTAAATATCTCTGTTTTGTAGACGTCTTGTTTACGATGTGAAACTGGTGTATGAACTCAGTGTGACCATATATTCAACGATAACGGGTGTGGCTTAATTATAACTTATCTGCATTGACCTTTACTACAGTTAAGCATAGCCTATAGTCTTTCAAATTAAAATTCTTTAGAAATTAAGGTACATAACGATATAGGGATACAATGTGTAACCTCTTTCATGAAATGTCTTTACCAAAGCAACAAATAAGCCGATCGACATAGGGAGATTGTGACTGAGCTAGATAGAGACTACGACACACACAGAGAGAGAGAGAGAGAGGGAGAGAGGAGACTAAGAGAGACAGAGAGAGAGAGAGTTTGCGATTAGGAGACTGTAATGATCGCAGATTTGAATTAAAATATTAAATGTGTGGGTGGACCTTTTTAAACTTTGTACATCTTCCAGTTCATTGCAATACTGTATGTAATTGATTAAAATTTAGTTTTATTCAATTTGCTTTTATATTGTAAAGTTTAACTAAATAAATCATTATTTGTAGTACTTCCTAGTGTGGGTATCGTTTCTTTATTTTTGTATTTAATTAATGATATCGTCTTTGTTATATACTGTTTGTCACGAGCCATAGTGTAAACTAAGATATTAAATTCTAACACTTATAACGGTACACGACAGTCCCAAACACTACATTATTGTTCTTATGTCAGTCCACTTAGTGTCACTATAATATACAGCATGAAAATAAGATTTTTTTATATTGCCGCATAAATACAAAACATTTTATTGAAGCGTACTTGACAGTCTAAAGGCCCATTAAAAAAAAAAAAAAT